TATCATCCATCCGTCTCTTATTTGTTCTCCAAGAGGTTTATTTTATAAATATTACTTCAATTTGTTTCACTGAGAACAGCTATGCACCACCGCTTTCAGAACAGCAAAAGAACTATCAATCTGTCACTCTTTTTCCTTCCATCATTTTTTTCTGAGTTACAAAACATCTGTTCTCCATTTATGTGGATCATCATGTTCTGACGATCCTTTTGTTTGAACATTGGCTACATCAAAGGTTAGGCATTTTGATTTCTTCCTTATTTTCATCATATAATATGAAAGACAGAGAAATCTATGTGGCAAGGTGCAGAGATGGTATTAAAATGCAATTTTTTGCACTCTTAACCATGAAAAGAAAAAGCAGTGAATGGGGAAAAAATGATGGGTTGGCAAACAAAATCTGACAGTTTAGTTGGTCAAAGGAGAGTCATTTGTACTGTCTCCACCTGGCTGCTATTTGTACAGATTCTTTACACATGCTGATGTTTTGTTTTTTAAATGATCATGGCTGAGATTTTATAAGTCGGACAACTCACGTAGTTAAGCACTGGATTCTGTATTGAGGCTTTGGTACTGAGAAACAAAACCTGTTCTTACTTCATATTGAGTCCTCATTTCAAAGGCACTGACATAATGGAAAATAAAGGAAATCAAAATTTTGCTTATGCTGTTGACACAATGGAAACAATGTTATATTTTGTAATAAAGCTGAAGATTACCCTATTTCTAGGACTGTGAACTTTTTCAACAGGAAAATGATAGGTGCAAATCCGGGCAGTACACCAGTTTCTTGAAGTGTTTTGGCCTGATTATACTCTTGCATGGGTATAAATGAGAAGTAATTCCACTGAAGTCATTGGAGTTATGCAGGTGTGAAACCAGTCTTAGAACCTTTATTTTAAAACTAGCAGCTTTATTTCTGTGTGCATTTGTGCATAAGTATGTGTTTGTGGGGAAAAGGAGAGGCTGTTAAATACAACTTTAAAAATCCTTAACAATATTCTATAACGTTCTTAATTATTAACATGGCCTTCTTGGAAAGTTAATGAAGTGTGTGATACACTGTAAATTGCAACTTCAATTTAAGGGCTCTGTAGAATCCTAAGAAACAGTATTGCTAGGGAAGAATATTCATGTATGTTCAGTCATCACTGAAGATTTTAGCTGAATATCACAAATGTAGTGGAACCTACTTATAGCGGTAAATCTTGCTCACTCCTCTGTGGATCTGCAGGGCACTGCTTGCATAACCAATAAAGTGCCTATGTTCACAGGAGGGTAGGATTTGGACTGGCCAAGAAACTATGAAAACTTATAGATATCCCTTCTGCACCAGAAAGCCCAATTCCATGAGCGCTCTTTGTGTTATCACCCAAGAGAAGGGCCAATAGATATAATGCTTTTCAGATCCACCAGCTATTCACACATTCTTGGATAAGTTGGTGCAAGAAGCATCAGTGGCTTCTCTGTGTCTGAGGCTGGAGTAGTGACCTTGGAGTGGCTTTACTGCTGCTCTATGTTCACCTGAGGAGTATTTCAAGGCAGAGCTTGCCCCCTGGCTTGAGCAGTGTGGTGGAGATATAGGTGCTGGGACATAGTGAACATTACTGCATTGAAACTTTCTCTATAATGAAGTAGTAAAAAGTACCAACTTCCAAACTGTTTCAATGCATTGCAGTGTGCAAATTGCAATTCTGGTATTAAAGAACCTCTGGCTTAAACTGAAGTTGTGAGGGAAAATGTCATATTTAGATTTAAAAAAAAATCATTCTGCTAATCGATAATTTAATCACATTCTAAAACACATTAAAATAATTAACCCCAAAAAATTTACAAAGTAGTACCATAGAACTTCAGAGTTACAAACTGACCAGTCAATCACACACCTCATTTAGAACTGGAAGTATGCAGTTAGGCAGCAGCAGAGACCTCCTCTTCCCTTTCCCTCCTCCCCCGCTCCCCCAAAAAGGAAATACAGTACAGTACTGTGTTCAGTGTAAACTACAGTACTAAAATAAAGGGCAAGCAGCATTTTTCTTCTTCACAGTAAAGTTTCAAAAGTGTATTTAGTCAATGTTCAGTTGTAAACCTTTGAAAGAACAGTGATAACATTTTGTTCAGAGTTACAAACATTTCAGAGTTACGAGCAGCCTCCATTCCTGAGGTAACTTTGTAACTTTGAGGTTCTACTGTACAATACTAACAAAAGGACACTCTCACCATCATTCCTGAGTCAACAGAACTTGCAGCATGCACTGAAGAGTATTAAATCCAAGCAGTTAGCGTAGGCAGAAAACAAATCCTTGAGGTAAAACCCCTAACAGAAGACACCCTTCTGCAACCCTTTCTAATTTAATCCAGGGGGGTTACTAAATGTGAGAATCTTGATTGATGGACTCACACAAAGGGGCAGGCAATCGCTGAGGTGGGCTTCATGGGTTAAAACCAACACCATATTTCATCTCAAAATTAGGTGATAGCCAGTTTATTAGCCTCCCAACAGGAAATAATCTTAATAACTAGGCAGATGCATTCTGCAGGGGCTGAACTTTCTGAATAGTCTTAAGTATTGCCTCATGTAGGGCACATTACAGTACATCCCATTTAGAGATGATAAAGATCTGGATGTAGTGCAGGCCTCACCTGAAGGAAAAGGCTGCAAACTTCTTTCTGGTCACAGATTATAAAAATATCTATTGTGAACTGATGCTACCTGTCTTCCTAGAAGCAGGTGGGATCAGCCATGAGCTTGAGGTTGAGAGCCTGCACATCAAATAATCTCTGCCATTCCTTCCTATTGCTTTTCCCATCCTATAAGCTGCATATCTATTTTCTGTGGGATGAGCTAGTCATCATCCACAAAAAAATCAGTACTTGGTCCTACTAGTGAAGGCAGGGGGCTGGACTCAATGATCTTTTATTTTCAGGGGGGGAGGGATAGCTCAGTGGTTTGAGCATTGGCCTGCTAAACCCAGGGTTGTGAGTTCAATCCTTGAGGGGGCCATTTGAGGATTTAGTTGGGGATTGATCCTGCTTTGAGGACTAGATGATCTCCTGAGGTCCCTTCCAACCCTAATGATCTATGAATCTATGAAAAACCATTCAATGAAAGACTGAGTAAATCAAACCAAACCAGTGGTTGGGCTGGAGGAGATGAAAATACAGACGTGTGGTATCCATATTTGAAAGACACCAGATCTAACAGCCCTGTAAACACCAATAAGAGAGTTCCACTTCAGTGCACTCATTCATACTGCACTTAACGTATTTATGTTAAAAGTCTACTCAGAGTTTTGGCAAAGGACATTGTGCTGCTCTATGGTAAAATCAGAAGCTTTTGTTTATGAACTAAATGCCATTTTCACATATCTTACATTTTCCATTTAAAACTGAAGAGGCATTGGCAGGTTTGATGATGGCTGGGGACTTGCATAAATCCAGTAGAGTTTTAAATTCCGTATGTGCTCCTTATCAGATGTATCCTGGAAAGTATTACAGTAGTTAGCTAGCCCATTCACGTATATTGCATGGCTTAGATTAAAAACCATAGGCCAGATCTTGAGATGGTGTAAATCAGCATAGCTCTATTGAAATCAACCATGCTACACCAGCTGAGGGTATAGCACAAGAGGTAAGTCCTATATAAGAGAGTGATGATCGTAGTGGTGAGGATACAGCAGCCAGACATCAATATTTTCAAATTGGTGGAAAATAGCAGATCTGTTTATTGCTTATTTAATAAATACAAAAGATGATATGACTACTATTATAATGTAATTGTGAGAGGGTCAGAAAAGTTTCAGCTAAGCATTCAAATGTTCAGGTGCTTACCTGAACTCATCTGAACATCTTCAGTCTGGAACCAAACCTTGACACCGCCACGGAATATTCTCTTGTAAGACTTCCAGTAAAGAGGAAGCCAGACCCTGAAAGTGCATGAGCCGAAGGGTGGATAAATGTCAGAATGACAAGCAAAGAATTTAAATGAAACTCAGGGGGAAAATCCTGTCTCCCTACCCAGGTGTAGACAGCCCTAGATGCAGCAGCAATGAAGTTTTGCTTCAGGAATGGCGTGTCCTGGATCCCTGGAAGGAGCACTTAGAGTCCAAATGCACTGCTGTGCTAGCGAGCATAGCACCGGTGTGCAGGGTTGTGGTGAGGGCAGGGTGAAAGTGGACTGCAGTTGGTGGATATGCAACTATACAGATCCCTCCCCAGACATTTCTCCCCAGGTTGGGGGAGAGGGGTGGTCTACATGTGAGAGGACAGTTGCCCTATTGCTTTAATCGTGCCTGTGAAACAGCTTCAGAGCTATAAGTTGCCTGCAGAGCCCCCACAGAGATCTCTTTAATGCATAGCCTAGTTGCACAGTCATCATGGGCAGAGGGCCCACACAATGTCTATGAAGCACTGTCAAGGATTAAATGGTACATAGACCCATTGCTGGCCTTCTGAACAAGGGGTGAATTTCATTCCTGATCTACAAAGAACAAAATTTGGGCCCTGATGTCCCAATTAGATAGCATACCATAACGTATTGAAACAGTTATGTGGAAGCATACAACCTAGGTAGGTAACAATAATTACAAAGATGATACAGCCTTTCAGATGTGGCTCCATTACATTATAAAAAATATTTAGGGCATGGAAATAATGCTTCCCGTTCCAAATGATGATTTTGAAGAAAAAATGGGACATTTGTTTCAAATGGAAACAGCTTTTCCTAAGGGATTTCCTTCTCCTTAAAATGTCCTTTCGTACACCAACAGATCTGAAACTCACAAGAAGCAATTTGCAATAGAAATTTTACAAGAGTTAAGCTTTATGTTTTACAGACACAAAGAGAAGAAGAATCTGTGGCAAAAATAATACGTCCTTTTTCCCCCTGGTGTCATGTTTTTGGTTATGTACAGCCTTGAAGATATGTATAAATCATTTTTATACATGGAACTGTCTTAGCAAAACTGAGATTTTAGTACAAAGGAATCAATTCACTGAAAGAATGTCCACATGCTGTTGCTTTATGAGTTACTATACATACAAGAAGATCACACAAAGGACCCCTGTTTTACAGATACTGCTGTATTGTACATTAACATGTGGCTTACTCCCGTCTCAGGGCTAGCTTTACACTTAGTATTACAAATAATATTATAACAATGCTGAAAATACTGATACAAAACAGCTTCAAGATATTTTTTAAAAATATCCCTCACTTTAATTGATCTGTTTTCTCCAGTCTTTTGAAAGTTTCAGCTTTTAAAAAGATTTTCCAAGAAAATAGTAGCATCTGAGATGTTTTTTGAAATGTGTAGACAGTTTTTTTAAATAAAGTGTAATCCAAAAGTCCATTTTTCCAGGAAAAAAATCAACTATAAATACAGTATATCAGTTAAAATTGAAGAGGTTTTTATGTAGTATAGTACATTTGTGTCCTGGGGAAAAAATGCCCTTGGTTACAATATTTTAATTTATTTACAGATTTGAAATATAATTGCATACATCAACTCTTGAGAAAGGCAAGGCTGAAATCTGTAATTAATAATCATTGTTGTCTTTTTCAATCTACAATAACCTTAAGAAGTTGCTCAGATGAAAACATGGATCTGAATAGTGAAATCATGGTACTACTATTTTGTTTTTTAAGTCTGTAGACTTTACGTGTATCAAAGCAACATTAGGAGTCTTGAACAGCCATACTTCATTCAGCAAAGCTGTTTTTGCATTGTTCCATTTTGGCAGTAACACCACACAAAGAGAAACAAAGTGAGTATGTTTGTATATATTCACCTTGATTCACAGCTCTGCAAATCCAAAGTTACCACTATAGCATATTCAGATCAACCTTGGTGTCTTCAACAGCAGATGATGTCTCAAAACTAGCCCTAATTGGAAACCTCAATAAACAGAAGCCAGGTGATTCAAGGCTACTAAAATGGCTCTGCAGCACATTTTCCAAGGCTTGTAATCCACGTGTTTCTTCCCCCAAGCAGTCTTTACACAAATCTGATAACTATGAAAGACTGCTTGGATTGTGTGGCTAGGCAGATGTTATGCTTGCTTGTAGGTAATTGTTATCGTAGTACATGGTATTGTGTGCATTACTTGACTGCTGACCTTTAGGAGTTTCATTTTCTATTTGTTGGTAGGGTATGTTAGCTACTTGAATCTTTGAGTAAGGATCTGCTGAACCCCTTCTTCCTCCTCCTCCATACTTAATCATAAATAAAAAGAGAGGTGACCTTATTCAGATTTATTGGTCCGCTTCTTATGCCCTGAAATGCAGGAGATTCTTGTTATTCAAGAGCAAACTATTATATGGTTTATTATTCAAACAGATTACCTGCCATCAGAGACATGTTAGGCTAAGAATCAAGTTTTGTATATGCCACATGTTTAGCATATCTTGTCTTAGCCACTCAGTTTCAAGTCTGTTGGAAGGGGCAACCGGGATTTTGTGTCATTGGCATGTTTGCAAGCTCTTCAGTGTGATCAGATTACTTCAAGTTCCTCTGAGACTAGAATGCTGTAGGTCAGCTAGGAATATATGGGTTTCAGCAGGTGTGTAATATGACAGTAGACTACCAAACATGCAGAATTAGTCCAAGTCATCAACTATTCCAGATCATTAACCACAGATGTAGCCTTAGAGACATGCTGATTTACAAAAAGCGACAGAGGCCTGTGGCACCTTTAAGACTAGCAGATGTATTGGAGCATAAGCTTTCGTGGGTGAATACCCACTTCGTCAGACGCATGGGTATTCACCCATGAAAGCTTATGCTCCAATACATCTGTTAGTCTTAAAGGTGCCACAGGACTCTCTGTCGCTTTTTACAGATCCAGACTAACACGGCTACCCCTCTGATGCTGATTTACATTAGAGTAATTTGGACATCAGCCGATAAGGACTGGATAAGACAATGGAATTACTTTAGTCTTTCATCCATTTTCAGTTTGATACACTGGAATGTGGCATGACATTAGATGATGACACAGCCTGATAGTCTGTGCTGTTCATCTGTGAAAGTACAACAAATATCACTAAAATGTGACGTCATAATACAACAAAAATAGTAAAACACAAAGTTTTTGGAGGAGCAAAGCTGTCACTCTCAATTTGAATTCCAATTACTCTGTCTGAAATCCTTGGTGAACCTGTGTGAACTGAACATTTAGAAGAAAATTAAAAACAGTCTCTTCCTCTACTGGTGTGATGAGGCATTCTCAAAATTCACACAACAGAAGCCAGTGAATCTCTAGTTTATATGTGAGCAAATGTCATTGTTCAAAGAAACAAAACATGATACAAAGAGAGTGCCTCAAAGACTTCAGTCTCATTATCTCCCTTGTCTCTATACAATTCAGGAGTGTTTACTAGTTACTTACCTACTCATTCCTCACATCTACTTTCACAGTAACATTATTAAATAAATACATTGCTATTTGAGATCACCTGCTGGAAAACTTCAATGTTGTCAGTGGTTTACAGAGGCAAAAAGATGAGAAAAATATTGGGCCTATTTTGGACTAGAGATCCCAGCAAGATGGTCCCATTTATTATACATATGGTGACTTCGGCAAGACAATTCAATCTAGTTACTTAAGTTAACATGCTAGTCCACCCCTCCCCACCCTCCCTAAACAGGGAAAATATGGAGCCCATGTACAATGCTAAAAGTTAAAAAATTAAAGGTAGCAGCAGATGAGAACTTAAGACTGAGCTCTAGATGAGCAATGTTCCCCCTTAACTGATTTTATCTCTTTCTACACCAAGAATATGAGGACTCAGTTAGCCATCTTTTTGGCCTAAAGTCTGCAGCTCTGCCGTGTGTAAGTTGTGGTGGAGGAAAACATTTTTCCTGCTGTACATGTGTAAGGAGATGGGTCCCCTCGGAGGCTGTCCAAATCTCCCCGTGAAAGTGGAATGCTGCCGGGGTACAGCAGTCTGATCCTTCGGCGCCCCAGCCAACCCTGGGAAGCTCTCTGTCTTGGGTGTTGGCTTGGTTGTATTTTGTGTAGCGCTGGCCAAAACATTCTGGGTGACCTCTGAAGTGAGGGTCTCATATGTGTCTCTCGTGTGCTTGATGACTTCCACTATTTCTTTATCTTTCAGGAGGTTACTCAGACACAGACTTGACAGCTGACAGCTTTTGCTTTCGTAGGCAGTTGCTTGGTTGCCCAATGAATATCTAAAAGGGTCCTCGGTGGGAGTATGTGCTGACTTTCTGTCCCTTGTGTTGAGGTTTTGGCTCACAACTTTGTTTAGATATGTAGCCTGGGGGGGAAGAACAGAAATGGGGAAAAAAGGCATTAGCAAAAGCACATATTAAGAGCAAAATGACACAGAGCATGCAAAACACTCTCAGTGGTGGCTGCCTAGGCTAGGCATTCAGTGTTGGCTGATTAAAATAAGAGACGTATCTCAAGCACTAGGAGAACTCAGGGTACTGTCAGTATAAAATGAAAATATTACTTATTTATATTTAAAAAAAACTTTGAAAAAACATTTAAATATGTAGAATTTGGGAATTTTTTATTAAAAATCTGGTTAAATTGAAAAGTCAAATTCTTTAATGAAACAAAAGATACACAGAGAGGTCCCATGACTCAGAACAGATTTTTTGAGCCCATCTTTATCATAATAGTAATTAATATCTAGAAAACCAGTTCTGAGTTACTTTGTTTCAGTTCAACGTAGAACATGCTTAACTTTAAATGTGTGAGATAATTTATAGTTACCATAACTATGTCTCCCTTACACTGAAGGCCAGCGGCAGCAACTACTGACTATGTTCCTGATAAGCTTTCAGAACTTGAAATTTAGGCTCATATGTATTCATAACAAAACTTCATGTCTGTATATTTTAATATCAAATGTCTAACTCCAAGTTGCCTGAAAAAAAAAAATATTCCAATGCCACATTTAAGTGAATTTGGAAAGCAAATTCTCCATGGAAGAAGTAAAAAACACTGAAAATCCATTCCTTTTAATGACCAAAAATGTGTATGCATGAGAGGGAGACACACAGACATTGTGATGTTTCCAGGGAGTTCTTTAAAAGGTATTTTATAACTTTCAGTGCATTTTATATTTTGCTTTTCTTTCAATAAATAGTAAGGTTACCAAGCTCCAGTTATTATTTGAGAAACAGGTTATAATAGCATCAATTGCACCCTATTTTAAAAGTTATTTTGGAACATAATTTTCCCTCTGTTTTATATCTATGTCTCACTTTCTTGGTACTGTTCAGCAACCTAGTTCTGTCGTTCTCTTGTGCTAAAAGACCAATATCACACTATAATTTTGGTGCAACTGAATGCTGCCAGGACATAGTGATTACCTTTTGACATTTATACTGCCATTTTCTTTTATGTGCTCAAGCATTGCAACTGGGAGCCAGGGGAACAAAATCTACTCCCAAGCCTTATACTCTGAGTTTGCTAAACAGTATTTTGAGATATTTCAATGAATCCATAATGAGATTTGTACATTTTTTCCATGAGAAACTGAATCAGTTCATATAGTTTTCTATTAATTTTGTATTCATCCCAAATGAAGGGTAGAACAAATACAGTGAATGTGATTTATATACTTCTTTATGAAGGGCTTGTCATAGGCATAGGCAGATTATACTGATGCACAGGTTCAGATTCTTTTGGAGGCATTATGTACCAGAAGCTGTCTTAGACATTGAAGAGGGATTTTCAAAAGCACATGGTATTGGCCTAACAGGAAAATTGGGTGGATACAAAGAGAAAATACCTATTGGCCACACTGCCCTAACATTAACAATATTTAAACATCATTTAAGCAGCCACATAAAAAAATCATATGGCAAATAGTTTCAAAATGTTATTGTACATTTTTGTTGACATGTGATTGAGGCTGAGGTAACAAAAAAAATGAGTCAGATTTGCCATTACTCTGAATTTTTTGAACCCGCCACTCGCAATAAGAGGTGTGTGAAAAATCCAGAATGAATACCCCTGTGGGGGGGAAAAAAATCATGTCCCAGTTTTAAGAAAAGTTGCTGAAATGTTGCCAGTTTTTACTTGCCAATGGATCAGTTTCCAGGAGACATGTTCTGCAGTATTTTCATGCTAAACCCTCAGCATTTGGGGCTTGAGTCTCGGCTGCACCCAATATACACTAGATGCTGCTGAGAGGCAGGACCCCAATCCTGGGGCAGACTCCATACCATCCTGGTCTCCTGCATAGCTTAGAGAAGCCTCAAAGCTGCAGTAAACTTTGCTAGCTTGCTGACAGGGCCAGCTCCGGGTTTTTGCCGCCCCAAGCGGCGGGGGGGGGGAGGGGGAGTCGCAATCAGTGGCACTTCGGCGGCAGGTCCTTCTGGCCGAGAGGGACCAAGGGACCTGCCGCCGAATTGCCGGATGTGCTGCCCTTTTCCATTGGCTGCCCCAAGCACCTGGTGCCTGGAGCTGGCCCTGCTTGATGAGCTCCAGGAAGCCAGTATGCCAACTGGTGTTTGCTGAAGAGCTGCAGAAGTCCAGCCATGCTCCCTTTCTTTAAGTCATACTCCCTGCACCATCTGCAATCTCCTCCATGCCACGGGAATTCCCAACTGACTGCATCTACCTCCTTTGTGGATACTTTGCCCTCTAGATCAGCAAAGGGGGCTTTAGCATGGGAAATAGTGTAGCCTATAATGTTTCTCACAACCTTAGACCCTTTTTGAATATATAGAATAAAATATATACGTCTCCTATAAATTGTATGCTGTATACATTTTTTAGTTTCCAAAGACTGACACACAATGACATTTTCAGCCAAAAGGAAATGTACATTTTCATTTCAATCTGAAATGTCAATTTGAAACAAACAAATGAGTTGTTTTAAATTTTCTGGTCAGAAAATAAAAAAATATCAAAATTGACATTTTCCTAATAAAAATTTTTATTTCAATGAAATGACATATTTCATAGGGATTTCCAGTTAAAATTTTTTGACCAGTTCTGTGAGATGGTTCTCAGCTGTTTTAGAACTATCCACACTGGCACTAAATCAGTTCAGACTGAAATGGTAAAGACTGAACTGGTTCTTAAGCCTGCCATAAAGAATTCTCATTGAAATGATTCTTTGAATATGCGTAGTCCTGGGGATTGTTTAGAGAGCTCCTGTGTGAGAGTGGGAGGTGTTTTACAGGCATCTTAGGGGGCAAAGAGGTTCTTAAAAAGGGTAAATTTATCTTGTGTAGTAAAAAAATCTTAAATAAATGAGATTTGAATATCCCTGCAGAAAGCTTAGAAATGGAACATGCCATAAGAAACACTGGAGCCATTCATCATTTTCCATTTTCAAATCCAATGAGTGAAATGTGACAATGGTTAACGGAAAAACAATTGTGCTGGAGGGCGTTTGAAAATGGATATTACTGTTGACTGGTTTGTGGTAACGTAATTATATAAAATAATAGCAGAGAGCTAACGAAAAAATCAATTTTAAGGCACTTATGCCCAAAGGCTTCTGGGTGCGTTAAAATTACTAAAATATTATTCTTACAAATAGAGCAACTTTCCCAAATACATAATTCTGATAGAGCAGAAAAAAGTCCCCCTCCCCAGTACACACGGACATCCAAATAAAACCCAAAATAAAAAATGCTACCTAAGAATGAAACCAAAACAACAAGTCTCGGCCTAAGGACTTTTGTGTTGTGGAGGTGCTGAGGAGAAGTCATTCCAGAGACAAATATTAATCTGGCAGGGGCCTGAAGACTGATTCCATGTTCCTTGAAGACCCATAACTCCCATTTACTTCAGTGGGACTGGAGTTGTGGGCATGCAAAGAAGGCAGGATGAGTCTGTTAATGTAATACAAATGCTGAAGCACAGCTTACTTCGCACTCCCCTGTTCATGTCACAACTACACTTTAATCACCCTTGGCCCAAAAGTTCATAGACAACAAGGCTATGTAAGGAAGCCAAGAGTAAAAAAACAAAAGGGTGAACATGATAAACCCTTCTCCAAAAAAAAAATAAAAAAAAAATGAAGCCCTCCCAACTTGCTTCTAAATTCATATGACTTTGAAGAACTTTCTTAGCTCTGACAATTTATATAACCACCCATCTAATTTACCAACACAGGTTAAATCGGTTCTTTGGTATACCCCATCTGTCACCATGTCAACTGCTTAATTTCTACAACACCTCAGTTTTGTGCCCACCAGCTCCCAGTGTAGGGAATGATCCAATAGAGAATGTAATTTATCTACCGTAGGTAATTGTTCTTCATTTTAGTCGGTTAAAAAGCACTCTTCTTTATTGATTTCCGGCTGCACAGGAATCAACACTATAGTTTTTACAATAACCTGAATCGGCTCCTAGCGATCAACTAATGCTGCCTTCTGGCAAGGGCAACATCCACTATGCTACAGAAACAAAGCCCAATACACAGAAATAATGAATGGGAAACCTGCAGTAGTGTCTTGAAAAGAGCCAGAAACTGGTGAATTTGTCACCTGTAGTATCACCAGGCACAAAATGGACTAAGTAACCATAAATCAAAGGGATTTATTTTCTCCCTCTCCAATTTCCCTACCACCTTTATTAACTTACTAATACAAAAAGATATAGTATATGTTAAATGCACCCCCCCCCAGTGTCCTTTTAAGGAGTAGTCCAGCAGAGTGTCAGAGAATTGAAGCATCCAGCATCCTCATTTCAAGAGGAGGTTTCAGAAAATGGCCATGCTTTGCAGCAAGATATGGACATTTAAGGCAGGAATGAAGCTATCCATTCAATTTGCTAAGCTAAATTATCCCTGAATAAGTTCATTGCTGTAACTAATAAAGCACAGCTACAAGCAGGCAAGGTGTAAAAGATTTAATGCTGAAGGTTTTATAAAGTAGGAAGAGAACAATGAAAAATGTCCCGTTATCCTGCAGTAACTTAAAGTCAATCGTGGCTGTCTGCCTTCTGGATACTGTACACTGTCTTTCTACAGTTAACTGAAAGCCTTGCCCACTACTTCCACTGTGTAAAGCAAATGGAACATTTTGCATAAGTTATTACAGCTATTTGTCATCACCTTTCAAATTAAAGTTTTTGCAACTCTTCACATTGCTTTGCAATTGAGCAGCAGAGTTGATTCCTCCATTATGATGAAAAATCAGTGTAGATACACAATATTTCTTGTCTGTCGCTATGAGTTTAAACCCAATAACCCTAAAAATACCAGGGAGGTATTATAAAGTCACAATGCCTCTTAAATCCATTTGTGCCATGCATGCATGTAGAATATACTACCTGATATAA